CTGTTCATTTCAACATGCCTTTCTGGAAATGGTGAACACAAATTTCTCAACTCCATATTTATCCCAAGACACTCAGTGTTCAAGTAAGCTTTGCATTCCTCTGCCATAAAGCATCTTCTAATCAGGTCTCAGCACAGAAAGGATCCTGTCTTTTTATCTCAAGAAATCTTTATTTTAGAGATTATTTGAATGGAAAGATTCATAATTTTCTTTGTGGACTGCTAATCTTGATCACCTTTTACATTTTTATCCTAGGAAATTGAGGTTTTTTTTAAATTTTTATCAGAACTGAAATCATTATATAATGGCTATAAATTTTAAATTTGGGGGAGGATTTTTAAGTGAGGGTCAAACATGACAATCAGATTTAACTGCATTTAAAGGGATTTTTATTTTCGTGAAAAAATAGAAAATTTCGTATCTTAAGCTACAAAAGCATGTACATAAACAAAAAAGCACATAGAGCTTCTGGTGTGGAAAGAATACAGAAATGCTAATCCTTGCTTGAATTAACTCTGAGTCAGGGCTTTAAGATAGCTTGATATCTATCTTGGAATAGAATTCACTGTTCGGCTGCTTATGGACTCACTAAGAGATGTCAATAAACATATTAACAAATGGCTGACTCTAATCTGGGTTTTAGACTACTGTAAATGAAATTTACACACTAGTAAGCAATTAATTTTAAAACTACAGCAGTCTGAACATTCACAATTACGTTGTCCATTACATTTCAGTTAAGGTAGTCCTCAGCTCCAATAAATATATCATATTTATTAACATTCAGAAGGAAAAAATCCATCATTGGTTCTGATTGTTATAAACAGAAATACAAAGAAAAGAGTTGGCATCTTCTCCCAAGTATAATTATGTGATCATTCTGAAAAAGAACATTCAAACATTGATATGTGGAAAGGCTTTTTTTCACAAATGAACAAGAAAATGAAAAGAAAGTTCTGATCTATTTTTTATACATTACTATGTAATTAACAGTATAATAGAGAAAAATTCAATGTAACCAGCTGTGTTACATTTGAAAAAATGCTGACTTATTCTAGTTATTAAATTTCAAATAAAACTATCACTTCGACTCCATTCATCTTCCTCCATTCCATCCTCCTCCTCATTATATTATACCTAATATTTATTTACTTTGAGGTTACACATCTGGTAGTATATAAAGCAAGACAGTTTATTATTACACTTGGCTTTTTTTTCTAATTTTTAGAAAAAACAAAATAGTAAAACTATCGTATTCTACTATGAAACATTGTATAGTTAGTAAATCTCTTACATCTGATTAAAATAGTGTTTGCCATCCAGTGCACCATTACTGCCAAAAACAAAGGTGAGAACTACTGCTTGTGCTTTTGAGAACCCATTTCAAATGGGAGAACAAATGTCATTTGAGAAACATTTACTTTCACATAGAAATGAATTTGCAGACATGCAAAGACGCAAGTATTCTGCTATTACTAACATTCCATTTTAACTTTGAGATTCAGAATGATAAGTCTCTTAGCAATTGAACACTGCTTAAACACTTAAAAACTGAGTAAAGGATGTTTTGCATTCTTTAGGCAACAAATGCTGGCTGCATTCAAATTTACATGAAGTATTGGGGCATAAATTCACAACTTCAGAATATTGACATAGTCAATAAAATGCAAGAAGCCAAGGACCATGAACATTACTTTTAAATGGGAAAAATATCATTCATACAGTTACATACAGTTCATACACTTCAAAAGGAGCAACTGATAATATGCCAGAGGACATATGAGAAAATGGCAGGATTAGACACAAATTATGACAGAAGTGGTAACTGAGTGACTTTAAGTGGTATCAATCAGTTGAAAACAACTTTCTTCTTATATCTATTTTTTCAAACTCTAATATTGGAAACTTTCATGGTATGTCTACTGTCAATTACAATAAAATCATAAAATCATTTATTATTTGACAAATCCCTTGTATGTGGTAAAACTATGAAGTCTTATGTGTTGTTTCTGGTAATTTCTTTGGTGCAGGAATGAACCAAGAGGATAGGAAATCACACAATCAAGGTTTGTCAAACCTTGCCCTTCACACGGCCTCACTGAATTTCACAGGACAGCCTCTTCTTTTCATTGCATTTCTCACATTTATAGATGAGTTTGGCAGGTTAAAATTGGTGACATATCCAGTGGTGAATAAATATTTTAGAAAGACATTTTCCCTCCTTTTGGAGAGCATATCAGATTTGAAAGTCTATTTTTTTCTAAAATCAGATTGAAAACTTTTTAAAAGAAATTTGCAACCAAATTGAGGTAAGGATGAGAGCTATGTAAATATTTAACTTTCATTTTGAATTATGTTCCACAGTGAAAGCAGCATGCAGAAGAGGCAAATGTATTTAATGCAAATTAATTTCTATTCTTCCATTGTAAAAATGAAGTTCAAAATCGCAACTTCTAATCACTTAGATATCATCCACCTTGAATGAGCAATAATCTTTAAGGATCTTTGCAGATCTTAATGAATCTTGAATGACAACTTAGAGAACATTTTTGTGAAGCAGCTAGGGCCAGTGCAACACTGAAAAATATATTTATTTTTATTTTGAAGTTTCTTATCAGTTAGATTTGGAAAACCTTTACAAAACTTGGTAGAATGTGGAAGGATCTCCAGTTATATTGTACAATAGTAACTAGTTTCAATAATGTTTGTTTATGGGAATGAGCAATACATCTTTATAATAATGGAAATGCCAGCCAGGTCTGTAATCTTAGCATTTTAGGGAGCTGAGATCTGTGGATCTTGTTCAGAAGCCAGCCTGATGAGGATCTGTGTGACATTTATCTCCAATTAAGCATGCGCGCGTGCATGCGCACGCGCGCGCACACACACACACACACACACACACACACACACATCGAAAGCCAGAAGTGGAGCCATGGCTCAAGTGATCAAGTTCTACCCTTGAGCAAAGAAATCGCAAGGACAGCACCTAAGCCCCAGGCCTGGCACACCGCCCCCCTCCTGGTGCCTATGTAACTTGTGATTTTTAATCAAGAGATTATTAGATTATTTCTCTCATCTTTTCTGGAAGATTCCCCCATACTAATAAAAACATGAACTTGTGGTCCTTTAAAGAGGCAAAAGTCAATGTGAAATTTAAAAAACTGTTTAACATGTTTTTTCCCTTTTTTACATTTTTGGCTTTCCATTGTTCTTCAAGAAAAAGTTATTTGATGTAAAGAAGTATTCCCCCCCCCCCAAAAGTTTATTCACACATGTGCTAATAATATTCAAGTAAAATTGGTGCATAGGAAAAGAGAACACTTAACATGGCATTTACTACTCTGACAAGCTATTGCCATTGATATTCATGAATAGACTCTATTTCCTTGAAAAACCACATGCTATTCCAAGATGTTTATAGTGTAACAGCATAAAAACTTGTTTCAATTCACCTTGGAGCTCAATTTTGTATAGCTTCTAACAAATTGTATGATTTTTACCACCAAAATCAGTCTTTACCACACATGATACAGAGAAAATACAGTGGCATATCTTACATTTCCTAATAAATTCCAATTAAATAATACATGAATTCATTCTTCAAAACAAACTTAAGATCGTGTTGCTGGATATGGAATGAAACCATGAAATTTAGAAACTGTCATTAACAAATAAACTCTCTTGGAAATTTTTTGAGAAAAAAATGTATCTACTTCTATGAATCATTCCATCACTGCCCGTAGTATTAAAAATTCTAGAGAGAAACCACAATGGAAATTGTTACAAAGGATTAACACTTAAGGGTAATACTTCATGCTATGTGCCTGGATTTAACAACATTAACAGAAGCCAGCAGAGTTAAATCCTTCTACATCCTGCTGAAAATGTGCCCTTTGGTGTCAACTTTGCTTGACAAGATATTTTCTGGGACTCAGAAAGGTGAAATTTCTTACAGGGGTACAAGATTAATGGCTAGAAGAACTGCATTGTCACAGATATCACCAAGTGATTTTTAAGAAGCCTGAAGGGATTTAATCTTATAGACATTTCTTGTTAGTGAATGAAGAGATTCGTAGCTTTTGGACGCATGATAGGAAAAAGAGACAGCAGCTTGTGTGAAATTTTCCTTTACTGCATCCCTATTTCTCCTATTTATATTACACTCTAGAACATTTGTTCCTATGTGTTGCCAAAATTAAAACAATATAAAAATGCAAGCAGAATGAAAATGCACACATATGCAAATACACGCACACACACACACACACACACACACACACACACACACACACACACACACACACAGTAAATCCCAACCTAAATCCATTCCTGCAGATATTACAAAGCATACAGTATCTACACATTTATACCTAATAGTCTCTAGAAGAGCAACTAAAATTAAATTTTGTAACACAGAAAAATAAATATACACCCTGTATTGTACTTTCTGTGACCAAGCAATATGTTTGTAAACTAGTTTCTATAACTTAACACCATGTAGTAACATTTTAAAATTACAAGAAAAAGTATGTATTAAGAAATAATCTAATCATATTGCTCTTCAATACACTTATGTAGACAATTCAGACTTGAAGTAAACTTCAGTAAAATGCAGCTTTTCTTAGCCCACAAAAGGCTACAAAACTTTTCCTTTCAAGTAGAACCCTGGAAGTTTTGAAAGGGGCTGCCATCATTCAGTCAATAAAGGTGCTATATATTTATATATTTCATGTACAAAATTCTGTGGAAGCAGTGGAAGGATTTTGTTGTTTTATTCTTAAGTTCAGGTTCTTATTCTATGCAAGTTATAGTTGCTTCATGAAAAATGAAGACAAAGAGGAAGATGTGGAGACTCTAGTAAAACACTGATTATAAATCTGGTCACTGAGACAAATGATCTCCTAAGGTTTAGAAATCACTGTTTCCCTTTTGTTAAAGTAAATCTCAGGGCTCTTTAGAAAGTGCAGATCATTCACTTGAAGTGACATTGGCAGAAGTTACAATGGCGCCACCCCGTTGACCAGCTGCAACTTCATTTCTTGAAGGCTGTTCATGATCTTCTTCTGGTGACCCACAAGAGTCACTCCAAGCCGTCTCAAATCCCTGCATGAAGAAAGCACACATTGGATGCATGTATTGATTCAAATTGTAGCACACCTCAATATCTCACGCAGACAAAAGGGAAAACCTTTGGCAGAAATTATCTATGAGCACAGTCCCAACTTAGGGAATTGTCATCACTGTATCTTCTCACATAGGAAAATTTAGCCTTTTCTTTTCTTTCTTTCTTTTTTTTTTTACTTTGGGTCCAAAATACCATATTTTCTTCTTTTACCAAATAAACCTAGCATTTATAGGAATTTAACACATTGTGAAAACTACATACTATCAAAAGTCTTTCATCCACAACACCTTTGACTTATATTTAAAAACAAGCTGAGTTTTTTAAAATTACAATTGTTTAAAGTATAAATTAACATCTTTTGAGCTCAAGACAAGTGGCTGTGATTTTTTACTACAAATTTATAATATATTTAGGAATGCTAAACCTATAAAGTGTTCATTTAGTTATGTTTGAAAAGAATGTGTATCAAGTATAAGAAACATGGGTGATCATAATATGTTTATATACATGTTTAGGAAATTACTATGCTTTGAATGTATAATAACGGCATAACAACTTTGTATTTAATGTTATTTTTCAGATCTTCATAAAATTAATATATTGGAAACAGTGACGTTGAGACTATTATAGTTGAACTCAAGCAATTTCAGAAAACGCAAAGAAATCTCTTCACAAAAGAATACAAATTAAAGTATGCCTTAGCTGAATTTAAACAAGAGGTATGAGGAAGAATTGTTTACTAAAGTTGTATTATATGTCTCCTCTTCCCTTCATGGTTTCTTGATTTCTTATGAGAACTTTAGGAGTTAAAAGTAGCCCCAAATGCTTAGGATGAGGACAAATTTCTTTTTTAGAGTGTGAATGAACTCAGATTTTACTATAATAAGATTGCAGGTCAGGTCACAGTATAAAAATAATCATGTTAGATGTGGCATTGGAGATGATCATCAAGACTGAAGAATAGGTAAAAATTCACTTTGAAATAAAATCACTATTGTTAGATAATCATAAAATCAACTATGAAACAGGCAATGCAGACTACAATTTATTTTTTTTTAAGTTTCAGTTTCATCTTTTCTATTTTCAACAAAATCAGAATTTCTCACCATGGTCCATATCAACATTATAAATACATGTTGTTGGGCTGTTCTTAGACAGTAGGGTAGCCAGTGGCATCTATGGTGGCCACTCATTAGATACCACAAAGCACTCTACATCTTATGTCCCTTATTGTGATGGACAAAATATCTTCAGATATTGTTGGGTAAAAATCTCCTCCATTTGAGAACAATAGTACTAAACATGGATACCATGTTACCAGAATATTTAACCCCAAGACACAAACATTTTTTTAAGTGCGTTTTATGGTTTGGAAAATGCAAGGCTGAAGAATTTAAGTCTCTTAGCTAAATAACAAAGCCAGCTGTAGTAGAGTTAGGAACAAAACCAGGTAACTAATCACAAAGACTCTATTCTTTATTTCTCATTATACTTAGACTTGATATTAGGAAAAACAAAACCACTTTCAGATAACTATAACAATGTTTTTCTTCATGAAATACAAATTTGGAAAATACAACATTCAATACCTAAAATTCTAAAAGAAGTTCTCCAATGATGGGAACTGAGCACATACTTCCTGATGAAGACTATGGTGATTGCATCTATAGTAATAGTCTCATGTATGTACCTATTGCCTGCAGAGTTACAGCTGCATTTATTCAACAATAATCATCAGCATTCCTATAATACATGCAGTATGTATATGCTTCTACACAATGTGATTTTCACTAGAAGACTCAGGATAAAGCTAGTTATAAAGATTAGATTGTTCTTAAAAGTAAAGTAGTTTTAAAAACTCTTGATAATTTTCTAGGGACACTGCCTATAAGAATCAAAATGGAATTAGAAATATGTCCATAGCAAAGGTTAAATGTTCATTGTAGTAATCATAAATGCATTATTTGTTTTTAGATAGTTCTGCCGCATACTTTTTGTTGTTTTCATGTGTTTCTACTTCACTATCTACTGCATCCATGATAAGAGTAGATTAACAAAATAACAGTAAAACTATAAGAAAATTAAAGTATTCTGCACTTGAGGGTGAGGGGGCTCCTATAATGTTTTGTAAAAGAAACCATTTCAAATTATATCTTTTATGAAACATAGCCTCCCTCTCACCATTAAGTATAGAATACTTTAATTTTCTTAAAATTTTTTGTTAATCTACTCATATCATGTACTATTTTTCTCATTTCATTTTTTCCTATGTAAGACATATCTAGATAATTGTAAGCATTTTTCTTTTAAAATATTATACCAGTATTATCTTGATTGTTTGCAATCTTAAACAATGGTCAAGGTCAATCCTAATGATTGCAAACACTGCTCAAGCGTAAGCTTATAAATCTCAGCATGATGAAAATACTATTGTACACACACAAAATAGATCTCATAAAATGATCATACACAATTAGTTTTAGAAAAGCTGTAAATAGAACAAAATGCCATTGTTAGCACTATATTTGAGGATTCTTTCAATAATTCTAATCAGTGTAACATACTGCTCAGGCATATTAAGATTTCAAACTGGTAAAATAAAATGTAAGAAATAATTAGAGGTGTGTAGCTGAGGTAGGAGTCAACTTTATTCAGGATAAAAGAGAAACATATGTGGATGAATTCTCTAGCTCAATCTTCTCCCCTCTGCTTTACATAACTGAAAGATTCCCCATCAACATTGGTGGGATAGAAGAAGTCAGATTACTATGTATTTAATGATCTGTGGGTTTTGCTTTCATCATAGTTGAACACTTCAGGTATGTGTCACTTTTCAATTTATTTCCACGAATCTCAATAATCATTTCAAAACCTACATAATAGTGGTCTATCATCTATTTATATATAAACACGTTTATATTTGTCAAGAGGATGCATAACCTTAGTATGGCTTTTATTAAATATGGCCTACTAAGAGCTACAGTTTTAGCATAAGTATAAAACAGAGAAGATTATGCATTATTTGCTGAATTATGCATAATGACTTTTTTTTTTTTAGGGTCCGGTCATGGGGCCTGAACTCTGGGCCTGGGTGCTGTCCCTCAGCTCTTTAGATCAAGGCTAGCGCTCTACCACTGAGTCACAGCGCCATTTCTGGCTTTTTTTTCTTTTTGCTTATGTGGTGCTGAGGAATCGAACCCAGGGCCTCAGGCATGCAAGGCAAGCGCTCTACCACTGAGCCACCTTCCCAGCCCTGCATAATGACTTTCTTAAGTTAATAAATGCATTTGAATCTTCTGTGTAAATTTTGGTTTTAAATTTAGAAAATTGTTTATTTTAATATTTTAAAACTCAACTCATGGGTATAGGAAACCCTGTAGCCTATACAAATTGGTATATTTAAATACATTGAATTTTGTTTATTTTTCTGAATAAACAGAAGTTGGCAATACTGGTTTGACTAGAAGTCTAAAAAGCAGCTGTGATTTTGTTGTTCTTTTTTTTTTTTTGGTCAGTCATAGGAATTGAATTCAGGGCCTGGACACTGTCACTGAGCTCTTTTTGTTCAAGGCTAACATCCTACTTTGAGCCACAGCACTACTTCTGGTTCTCTGGTAGAGATAAGAGTCTCACAGACTATTCTGTCCAGGCTGGATTTGGAGGGTGATCCTTAGGTCTCAGCCTCCTGAGTGGCTAGAATTACAGGAATGAACCATTGGTGCCTGGCTTGTGATTCTGTTCTTAAGTGCAGATTTTTGAATAAATTTATAGTCCCTATAGTCCATAGTAATTTAAACATACATAATTGTAGTTTCTTGTCATTTCTGACATAATAGTTGTTCAAATATCAAAAACTATACACGGGATAGCAGAATCATCTGAAGTGAAAATATACTTTGACCAAACATGCTTTAAGATTAAGAACTCCAAGTCTTTACTAAATTTATTCATTCATGCATGTGTTGGTAAACAATATATAAACACATACCATTAAATCTTAAAGAATGAAATTTGAAACCAAAGTATGTGGTTCTCAAAAATATGCTTCTTACTCTTATTTTTCTAAACCCTCTATGAAACCAAATTTGATGTCACAAATTACAACAAAATTTTCTTATATATGCAATTTCAGCATTTATTTATCAGCTTTGAATGTAACATTTTTTCTAAACATTTACAATATTTGAATCATTCAGTTCCTCTGATTTTATGACAATAGTTCTAGGAATAATGTATTTTTATTATAATACTACAGGGGATCAATAAAATTAATACTTTGATATTGGGTTAGGATTGTAGAAAAATTTGTTATCACAGTGTGTTTTGACAACTTATCTTTTTTTTCTTTTTGCCAGATACCCAAATTTTCTTTTATTATAAATCCTAAGTAGTACCCAGTTGAGAGAAAAAAAACATACAGAAGGCATATATTTTTAATATTGATATATAATTAACTAATTGCCCTAGTTGTGTGTGTTGACACAGTATTTGGATAATACGTTTTCAGCAATTAAGAGAAAAGAATAAATGAGAGGTATATTAATAGTACAGGACTATTCATGAAATCAGCTTTGGTAAAATTAGGTTGACTGGCTTAAATCCTAGTAAAGAATTGGAAGCGACTGACATACAAAGGCAAACAGCTGTTGAAGGAATATGTTCTAAATTTTCAGAGTAAATATGTTAAAAGATAAAATATCTGAAGGAAGCCATCTAAGAGGCAATAAACTGAATAAGAAGACCATTGAAAGAAGATACAAAAGGTTATGAAGACTTGAGAAAAGAAAACACACAATGAAAAGAATTTGAGCATGTAGAAATATATAGGCGAGTTGACAAGTAAAAGTGAAACATAATATAAAAATAACTAGCACACAAAGTATTTGGGGCCCTGGAATAATGAACTAAGCCAAAACATTTCTTATCTTTATAATTATCTGTGAAGGGGAGAAGAAAAATGTGTTAGAAACCTATATATATATATATATATTTATATATATATATATACATATACATATATATCTAATCTATATGCATATATAGATATATATGAGCATGTGCCACCTTAATAAAATAAGAGACATTGTTTAATGCAAATATTTTTATTATATATTTACAAGTAATCTGACATTGGGTAGAAGAAATACCTACAGTATCATTTTAATATAAAATGACAAATGACTTCAATAAATTAAAATGACCATTATTTACTGAAAAAATTAAATAGCAATCATGTAAAAATAGTTTAAAATTATCAGCAAAATTTTCAGTATACTATTTTAAATATAGCACAAATGAGTTCCTTGAATGTCCGAAGAAGTGACGGTCAAAGTATATATGTATGTCAGAAAGTGACGTGAGAACAAGAATGGTATTAGTAAACTAGGAAAGCAAGCTGAGTGGTTTTGATTTTAGGATTATGAAGTTATCCACAGGATGGAAGAAAGTGCTGAGTTTAGTTTATGAATTAACTAGTGACAAATGATGGTACCCTGTTACCTTTTCTGAGGAGAGCAGTGAATTCAATGACTCAAAGAATGACAGAACAATAGAGATGGCTAGAGAACTAAGTTTTCAGTGTTCTTAGCTCATGGAGTGATGACAAACTAAAGTCTGTGGGTTAGTGATTTAGAATACTCTAAGTTTTTCTAATCCTCACAGCAATATTTTAACCTTTGAATTTCCAGGTCATATGAAGTAAATTCTCATGACATTATTCACAGGTTAAAACATTATAAATGTGGATGTAATCAAGATTGGAACCATCATATGACAGGTAATTTTCACATATAACAATTAGGCTAAAATAATTACACACACAGAGTATATAATAAAGTACAAACAACTTACAACCTTAAATTATTTAATATTTCACTCTAGTGATCTTTTATTTGACTAGATTTGTTGAATTTTAAGCGTGCAAACAGAAAAAGGGCACAATTGGTTCCACTGAGATTGTACCAAATAACAGATCTGAGGCAGGATCTAATATATTCTTAGATCATAAGAATATAAAATGTACCACTTGGGCATCAAATAAGATTCCTGCCTGGGAAATTTTACTCGAGCTGTTTATAACCTGGATTATTTGCCATAGAAATCTGAAATTTAGGTATATGTTTTGTGCTGAATTTAGGAATATATTTTGTTGTTATGTAGGACTGACCACACCAATTGTGCTTACAATTTGTTTCATTTTGTATTTACATTCATATAACATAGGTACCAGTATAAAAACTTATCAGGAAAACATCTGTTTTTTTTTTCCACAACACAAAATGCCAGTATTTTGCTAAGAAGCTGTTATTCCAATTATTCACATATTAAATGCTATTTGTTTTGAGCAAAGAAGCAAAGATACTGGCCACAAGAAGCATTTAACCATGCAGTTGTTAACAATACAGGCTAAAAAGATGAGGCTTCTTTGAAAGCTGCCACACATGGACAAAGGTTAACTGATTTCCCTTGATCTCATCCAGACTGGCTTCTGAACAATTTTCCTCACCCCAGCAATCATGTAAAAATTATCAGAAAAATTACTCACTCCAAGGTCACCTGAGCCACAGCGTCCATTGAACTGTATCCATTTTCCATGAAAATCTCTGTGTACCGGCCCATCTTGATTGCTTCTAGCCATTCACCTACTGACCTGTAGGCTCCAGAGCCTAGAGAACCATGCTCTGCCAACAAATTAGATACTCTAAAACATAGAAAACATAGATATTATAAGTCACAATGTATGGGTAGTCTCAAAGGATAGATTGTAAAGGGCATTCCTATCTTAGGGATTTTAGAGAAATGGAATGAATCTGTATGACACTATTCTTATGTATCTGTATGCATTTCCAAACCAATATAACATACACCACCAGTAATGGATCATGGTGTAAATATGAATCTGCAGTGATAGTAATATATTCGTGTATAGTTACCAGTTGTATCAGGTATGCCATTATGGCAGTGGATGTTGATAATCATTTTAGAAAGGTGGCATGTTCTTAGAGAGAGGTGGCATTTGGAAGACTTCTGTTTTCTGCTCCATGTTGCTCTCAAACTGTAATTACTCATTTTAAAATTGTGTATATAGTTTTGTAGTGATTTATGCATATATATCCTACTATTTTTTGGTTTATAAAATACTACATATGCACGTGGAGGGTAATTGGTACAAAGTAATACTTTTACAATTTAACAGAGGAACCTAGCGTTAAGTTAATTTCCAAGGAAATCTAGAAACTACTTATCTTTTGTTTATTTTTTTTATGTCCAGTGCTGACTGATTCACCTGGTAAGGTAAAAAAAACAAACTGTAACCTCAAATATATGTGGAAACAGAACAAAATCAACCAAACCATGAGATCCTTTTTAGAATGTTAAAGTCATACTTTTGGTAAATAAAAATTATGAGATGTTGTGTTATAAAACTATATCCTAAAGAAATAATTAGGAAAAAGGATCAAGGTCCTTTGTATCTGAGTATCAAAAATAATTTGAGTGGCTGTGATAACTGTGAAACATGGGACAGAGACATCCTCCTTTCCATTCATCTTCTCAGAAGTTTCTCACATTCAATTTACACTTCAGTCTATTTGAGTGCTTTTTTTTTCTTTTTTCAAAACCAATTCTTAAAAAAAAAACTACTGTGCTTGAGATGAGCAATGACCTCCATTCTGCTAAAATTCTACATCTGTAACTACCACTGTATCTCTTTGTTTAAACCATATTGTTTAAACCTCTACATTTATGAAAATAGTGATTCTCTCTTGTTTGGCTACCACAGCATGTCTATCACTACTTTCTTTTTACTCTTTTTTTGTGTATTTTCCTACTTCATTTCCTAAGTTAAAATCTAGAAAGACCCAAGACTTGGTCCTATATCTTCTTTTTTTGTATGTTTTTATTGTAAAAATGCTGTACATGAGCAAGGTAATGAGTACTTTCCTATTACGCATTGTCACCTCCTCCTTGAAACCCTACCATCCCTTCCTTCCCACCTCCACAACTACCCCTCCTCCCTCTTAAGTTATAAAATTTGTTTTCAACATAGTGTTTTGTGCATCTAATTGCTACAATGGGTCAACCTGTATCCTTATTAAACATTTTGTTTTTTCACTTCTCCTCCCCAAATTAGAGCAGTGTATATACAAGATGCAGGGCACCAACATCAAATACAGTGGAAACAAGGGTTATACTGTGGGGGAGGAACATACAAAGAAACAAAAACATCACATGGTACATTATAAATATGTTAGAAACAAAGCAAGAAAGAAAAAAAGATATTTGTGTCCCTATCTTGGGGTTTATTTTACTTAACATCATCTTATATGGTCATATGTACATAGCTTTTGGCCTTTTCTGCTTGTCCTACACATGTACTAGTTATTGCAAATAAGGGAAACCATGGGCCCTATGTTTTTCGGGCCTGGCTTACTTCACTTAATATAATTTTTTCCAAGTCTGTCCATTTCCTAACAAATGGGGCAATGTTATTCTTTCTGATGGAGGCATAAAATTCATATATATATATATATATATATATATATATATATATATATCACATTTTCTTGATCCACTCAAGGGCCATCTGGGTTGGTTCCATATCTTAGCTATGGTAAATAACGCTGCAGTAAGCATAGTCATGCTGGTAGCCTTAGTATGGCCTTGATTGTGATCGTTTGGGTAAATGCCCCAAAGTGGGATTGCTGGGTCATAAGGGATGGTCCTATATCTTCTAATCTCAAATTTTAACTACATTCAGTCCGTGGGCTAGTTTAGACTTTCATGTTTTAATAACGTTTATTTTCTCAGTCTTTTTTTACTTAGAGTAGGTTTTATGTATTAGCTTTGTATTTCTCATAGACAGGCCATCTCTCTGAACACGTTCAATATCATTGCGAATCACATGTGATCTTCTTCACCTGCCTCTCCTATTGAAGTACTTCCAATAACAGTATATGCGAAAATTGTCCACTTCTTCTGCATTCTTATTTTTCTCACAATCTCTAATGGCACATATTGAGTATATTACTCATATAATTCCAAGTTGCACCTTTTGACTACCTTATTCAAGACACCATGCTTCACCATTGAAGTAACAATAGCCTCTTGCTTTTATTTTCATTCCTTACTGCAAAACTAAACACATGGTTTTGGAGGTTTTATTGGAATGTTTTTATGTTCAATTTCTCTCTCACAGAACAGTATAATGGGTCCATCAAAGGAAGTTGCTAGGCTTAGTTCTTACACATTGCATGCTTAACTCTTAGCCCACAACATGACACAGTTGAAGTTGAACAATTGTATACTGACTGTTTTAGTGATTTATGGTAGGGTCTAAGACTTGTCAGAGTTAGAACTATAGAAGAAAGCAGAATGAGAACTGAATTTTATAGGTTAAATTATGGAGATTTTGCAGGTTTTGACAGTATCATAGTTGGCAGAATATGACCACAGGAAAGAAAACCCAAGGTAGGGTAGAGTTGAAAATCATCAAAGGAGAAAATTTGGGGGAACTGAGAAATACTTAAGAGCAGTCATCAAAGCTTGTGACATAGATGAGGATAGAAAGAATGAGAGAGATGAGAACCCAGGAATTAATACTTTCTAGACCTGGAGTTTTCAGATGACTATAAAGAAAAGTAGTGGGAATGTGGCTCTGAAAGCTAAATCTGATTAAATTAAACCTGCTGCTACATGGAATCTTACATTCCACTCAAGAAAACAAGAACATTATTTAGAAAATTTTAACTTGTTTTCAAGCTACATTGTTGATGATCAAGTGAACCAATATAAATTAGAACAATATTTTATTTCATGATTTCTTTTCATTCTTTTTATTCATGATACTCTAACATAATTTAAATAATAGCTGAGAAATCAGCTTAATAATTTAAATGTCAATGAACAATTTTAAAACAGATATTTAGGGAACAGCTTGGGAAGAATGTTAAGAAGATACACTCTCCAGTTGCTACCACAGAAAGTTAATGATGCCTAAACAGAACTTGAAGATTTATTTCTCACTTGCATTTAAAATGACTTTTTTCCTTGTAAACAAATGTTATGTCAAAAACATAAAACTTCTGTAACTTCATAAACAGTCTGTTTTCATTTAATTCATGCTAATAGCCAATTCAGTTGCTAACATAATAATCTTTCTTGTAAAAATAAGCAAGTCTTCAAATTTAGTGAAAATAAGAACCTGGCAAATTTTAGGGAAAGGTAGGGCATTTTTTGTGTGTGTGTGTGGGTTGTGGGGCTTGAACTCTGGGTTTGGGTGCTGTCCCTCAGCTCTTCAGCTCAAGGCCAGGACTCTATCGCTTGAGCCACAGCACCACTTCCAGGTAGAGTATTTTGTAAGTCTGCAACATTATTTTAAAATGTTTACAATGTTATTCAAAAACTTATAAAAAATACAATTATTTTTGTATATAAACTTTCTTCACGATAACTCATTTATCATTTAAAGTATTATTTTAACTGTGCCCTACATGAGTAACCAAATATCAACTGTACAACTGGATAAGAGCAAATACGTTTTCAATATGAAGCATAAAATGTTGTCATATTTAAATGACAGACACTTAAATTTATTTTTAAGGAATTATTAAAATGTGTTTATTGTTAGACATACTTAGTTTCAACTGTGTCATTGTTTTATTTCATTTCTCTATGACCTCATTTTTTTCCCTTCATCTGCATGTACCTTCCAAAATGCATGAAAATGTAACATTTGAGAAGTACTTTTAATGCTACCTAAATGTGGCTAGAGTTCGTATGTTTCTGATAGTGTCACTTTAGACTATTAGGTCAGGAGAAAGTATCTATGATATAAGCTTAAGTAAATTAGTTCCATAGATATTCACTGACCAAGAAATATAAAAGAATGATTTCATTGATGAAATATTAAAGTCATCAAATGATAATAAGCACATTCAGAACACGAGCTCAGTTCTGGCCTTGTACCTGCTTGATGCATTGACCAGCGTCTTCAAACTACTTGGGTTGCGGATCAGCTTGTCCAACATGTTAACTATATCATCAAACTTGGGCCTGCTATTCCGTTCTTTCTGCCAGCAATCCAGCATTAATTGATAGAGAGCAGCAGGGCAATCCATGGGGCTTGGCAGACGGTAGCCTTCCTCGACTGCCTTAATCACCTGCAGAAAGCAAAGCAAACCAGTTCTCAACACCACAGATTTCATACATGAGAACTTGAGGAATTCACTTCACCTAGCTTTCAGCATCACTGTTTTGTAAATCTATGATTAGGTTTTTATTATAAAATACAAATAAAAGAAATAAACTACCACAGTATAAAGAGAATTTCTTCACACTTGATAAATAAATGGTAATCATTTTTACCTAAAGTCTTGGTGAAGGGTGATTTGTAAAAATAATTGACATAAAATGCATTGTTCATGTTTTATTTATTCTTCTATGCTGGAATCAAGTAAAGATTAAATTTTCCCAGTGATTTCTCTGAAAACTTAATGTCTTTTTAATGAAAAAATATGTGCAGAGTCACATTTTAAAAGTAATAGAACAGCAATTTTGCTTCAAAAAAGACTTTTGGGTATAAATGATGGATAAGCCAAAGGCTAAATTACCATAACTGTCTCATGTCTCATTTAATAATGTCAAGGTCTGAATGTTTATGATCATCTGCTGATTTCTGTCAGAAATTTGAAATGACTATCTTAGTAGCACAGACTTTACAAACATCATTGATTTTAAATGTAACCACATATGAATACCAGTCTAATTATGGGTTTTCTTATCAAAAACATTTGTAATAATGTAGCTACCATCAAAAATTCTAACTTGAAAAATATTTGTCCATACTACTGAATATAACAATAGTCGCTTCCTTCATTTATTAACCCTCTAATGTTTGAGTATTGATAAAACAATAATAGGCATACTTCTCAAAATTATATTGTGCGTATCATATGACTAGAATTACTTGTGACTGTGTAATTAATAAACTTAATTATATTATTCCACAAAATTTTTATTTCTTTTGGTAAATGAACACCAATTATCAACAAAGGAACTTGGCAAAGATAATTGTCAAAGATTGGAATGAGCTCAGCTTCTCCTTGATAAAGAACTGACATTTGCATAAATTCAGTGACAGATGGGAAGAAGATGAAGTGGTAGGTGTAAAAGGCTTTTATGACCTAGGAGTTAAGCTGAAAGTAGAAATTAAACACTTTCAAGCCTATCACACTGAAAAGCCTTTTCTGTTAACTGAAAATGAGCAAAATTTTCAAAGGGAGAAAAATTATCAGGTATAATTTGAGAATCTTTTAGTCTGAAGTAATTGAAAACACTCCCACCTGGAAATTTGTAGGAATCTAGCCAGAGCACAGAAGGCATCTGGGATGGTAAAACACACATGAGGGTTATAAGCACATGATCATAGCTTGAAGTTGGTATCTGTATATTTCCATGGAAAAAAAATATACAATAAAGATCCCAAAGAAGAATCAAAAGTTAGATGTTGAAAAGAAGACAAAAGTAATTAGGGACTCTGAAAATACATAGTGAGAAGAATAATTAACTACAAGCAAATGACCACAGCTACTGACAATACAGTTAACTGAAAAGTGACATAACTAATTTAAAGGCAAATCATAGAATTTCAACAACCATAATATAGCTCATGTGTAAAACCCTCATGCATCATAGGAAATATATAGCAAGACCATAGATAAATGACAAATAGACTAATAAAAATGTGTAAAAGAAAACAAAATCTTGAATTAAAATAAATTTTGTTGTTGTTGTTGTAATTTTTGTTTTGTGCTCAATACTGATACTGGAACTAAGGGCATAGAAGATGCGGTCCCTGAGCATTTTTGCTCAAGGCTAGCTCTCTACCACTTGAAACTCAACTCACTTCTACTTTCTTATAGATGAGAGTCTCACAGACTTTGTGGGTGGACTGGCTGAGATCCCAGTTCTCAAGTCTCAGTTTTCGGCATGGCTAGGATTACAGGCATGAACCCACAGTGCCTGGCAAGAAGGAATTCTTAATAATGACCAAAATATATTAAGAAAACAAACATTAAACTCTGGCAAGTATTTTAATCACTAAAAACTCTAAAGATCAGCCTACTTACAAGCCAGTCCTAACTATTGAACATATATCCAAAAGAATATTAATCACTATACAAGAAGGATAGTGTATATCCATGTCTTTTAGAATTTGATTTCCATTACTTAAACTGTGGAATCAGTTGAAGTGTCCAGCTTGATAAATAAGATCCAAGACAGCAAAAGTAGGTAATAGAAAGCAAAGACTACTAAGTGGCCCTCTAAAAAAAACGTAAGTTGATTGAGTTTGGTTAGAGTACATTGTATGTATTTAGAGAAAATTCATAACATCTGATATAGGATAATATTTACTTGTATATATAATATATGTTAGCAATCTTCCTTAAGAAAGGAAGAATGCAGTCATGAATTCTACAATGTTCCGTACTTTTTGTCTTGTTTGTAAGAGTAGCTGTTTTGAAGAGGGTAAGGAGAGAGCACAGAAATGGTGGGACAAAGGGTGAACAAATGCAGTAGTGATACTCACTAGGTAGAAAATGAACTATACAACTGGCCAGAGAGGTAGTCAGGAGGGAAAAACTGTGAAGGAAAAGGTATTCATTACCTTACTTATGTAACTGTAATTCCTCTGTGTATCACCTTTACAATATTCAATAAAAGAAGAGAAGAGCAAGGCAAGGCGTGGCTAGAGGAGGCATGGTTAGGAATATTAAATGGGGTGACATTGATCAAGACACATTCTATTCATAAACTGCTTTGTTAAATGGCAGCTCCTTTCTTTAGCTTCTTAAATATAATAAATGAAAAAAATATAATTCTAAAAATAGGTATTGAAAATAGATTACGTGTATGAGGATGAAAATTCTTCAGACTTCTGTGCTTAGAAATCTATATATTCATCCATTCATCAATAAATTTAAGAGAAAGATGCAGACTATAAATATGAAAATGAGACAAATTTCATTTTGGGTTCAGAATGGTGATGTTTAAAGTACTTGCTGTCAAAAAGCAAGCTTCTACTAACTGTAGTAGTTTATCCACAGTTCATGAATCAGGGTTCATGAACTGGTATTTAACTAAGATCATCTTAATAGTTCTGGTTTACTTTCATTTGTTATTGTTACCGATTTCCACTGTGATGGCAGCAGAAAACTTTATTAAAAAAAAAATCTACTGCCACATACTGTCCTGACATGGAGGGCAGTCTCCTCTGTGAAATTTAGTTATTCTGAATGACTAGAAAATGAGCAGGCACCAAAGCCTGTTTAGTATTAGGTAGTGTCTAGAATGGAGACAATATGGAGTGTATCAATTGAAATTCTCAAGTCAGTACTTAACTTTGCCTTTTGCAAACTTTTTTCCTATGAATATGGTTAGTGATTATGATCTTCAATACAGTCATTTTGTCATGTTTCTTTGGATAAAAATCCAGACAGAAACTGGAGCATGTAACATACAATGCTGTATTTAGAAATTAAATGCTACTGATAATTTCAAATACACTAGGGAAAAAAAACACATACTGACATTGTATGAACAAGAATCTTTTTACAAAGATTTGTGCTTATTGAATCATTTTCTGTAAACTTCACATGAAACAAGGTAAAACTGAAATGTTACCTTTTATACTTATAATTTCTTAAAATATTATTATATTGTAATTTCTTTCTGTTTTCTAAATTACTCAAAATAATATGTAGAATGGAAAGATTGAAATAAGGAAAAATTAAAGAGTAAGGACTAATAAAAATAACAAAGAAAGGACTCACAGCAGTCACATTGAGTTACACTACAATGTGCTGGATAAAGCTACTAAGTATCAAATAGATGAAATCAGAAAACAGTAACGGGATAGAAAAACTGAGAATTATTCTCAAGATACTGATTGAATCTGAAAACTATTGATTGAAACAGGGAGAAACGAAGGATTAGAGGATCACCTCATATCCTCTTATTTTCCTGTTCTTATCTTTTTATCCATAACTATAGTACCCACGGATGTAAGAAGAGTTGTCAACCCAGAACTTTGATAGTATGTAGCTGATGGTTGGGATTTTAGAAGGCATGTTGCCAGCTAAGGTGTACTGTACTTGTACTTCAGCCTCTTGGCAAATGAGATTTCCTTGATATAAGCCAACACATGACACAATTCTTCCTAAGGCAAGAGAGCTTGGCCCAAATAAAATCAATGGTAGCAATTTGGGGGAGTGAGGAAAGACTAAAATACACAGAGATTCATTGTCCTGCTGTGTATTTGCTGGGAGGAAAAAAATCCATGAACCCACATTGATGTTAGCAGAGAAGAGTGCTATGATATTATTGAAAGAAAAGCTGGTCAGTGGCCCTGGTTTCATCCCTATCCCAGGAAGACTGAAGAAATCACATGGTGGAAGAGCCTGTTGCAGCAATATAGCATCCAACAAGAATGTACTTCTCTTAATAAAGCAGACTCATGCATGGTTCAGTAAGTTGACAAGCAGGCAGCAAGTGAAAGGAGTTCTAGGATTTTGATTGAACCACATAATCCATCCTGATCTTATAAGAAGCCTCTATCTAGGTTCTTTGGAAGAATCCAGATACAAGCCTCACTAGAAAACATGAAACATGTCTGTGTATCTTTCTCAAAAGATGAATGTAGAAACAGATTTTGGCAGAGCCAAAAGAACAAAAATGTGGTTATTCATGCCTAAGATATCTAATTTGTTTCAGGCTGGCTTTCCAGTTGGGGAAAGCACTTTAAAATTCATGTGCAATGTACCTTAATTTAAGTTGATCGGTTGTTTTATCAAAATTCAGCTGGAGAGAAATAGTATATAGCAATCCCTGAGGGCAGGCATAGAAGAGCAATGTACTATAGAACATAAATGAAAGTAACCATTGGAGAAAATTAAATGTTTCTAATAAGTATCATATCAAATTTATAATGTTCAATATACAGGTTTTATAAAGAAGTAAATGAACTACCAGTTCATAGTATCAATGTGTTATATATCTGAGCCAGTGTTAGAACACAGTAGGAAATTAACACATTCTTCTGCTTTTACCATTGTTATTTTAAGAAAACAAAATCAAGTTTTGATGCAACCCCAACTAGAAAATAATGTATTGAACTATGATAAGAGTAATATGTTGGGCCTCAAATCATAAACTATTAATTTGAAAATGGAATTATTTCATTGTTCCTTTAATATTACAACTGTAATATCTGAAACCATGAATTCATTTTTGTTTTGGTTTTTATTTTTTACTGCAGCATAAACCTCTGTGTTTCCCCCACCAAAATTAAATACATAATATAACATATCCTACATCTTGTAATTTGAAGAAACATAAACTATTTCTTTTAATCTTCTAAGAACATTCACCATGAAATCATTCATCCTTTTGTGATGGGATATTATCTGCCTTCATCAAATGAAAATTAGAAAAATGTGCTCCGTCAGTATTGATTATTTTATACCTCTTTTTTCATTTTAAAGAATGATCCTGACATAGACTGAGTGAAGCATCACTACAATCCACTTAAAACTCTTTGGCAAGGAAATGAGTTTTGATGTAATTGTGACTTATATTCTATTACTCCAAGTAATTTTTTACTTGAAGTAATATAAAGTCTTTATTCAACAATAGCAAAACAGAGAGTGAGCAAAATATTTCATGTTTTTCAAAAAACTGTCATTTCAGATACAAAATAGTGCAGTAAATGGTCTGAATTCAGGGAACAAAATATTTTATTCTCAACTTGAAAAAAGTGTAGTTCCAAACTCACATCTTGATTGGTCATTTCCCAGTAGGGTCTCTCTCCATAAGACACAACTTCCCACATTACAATTCCGTAGCTCCAGACATCACTGGCAGAGGTGAACTTGCGGAAAGCTATTGCTTCAGGGGCAGTCCATCTGATTGGGATTTTGCCTCCCTAAAAAATAATTTTAAAAAATTAAAATGCTCACATATTTCAAGGGTACCTGGGGATTCTGCTGTCTCACAGTAAGATCTGGAAAGAGATGTAGCATTTTTAAGTGAATCTGTTTGACAGCATGAAGTCTCTTTACACATCTCCCAGCCCATAAGCACTTGTAGACTAACTGCTAATTGGCTGTCTGGAAGGTTTCTACTTGAAATTCTCTTTGACTCTTGGAACACATACAGGACCACATCTCAATTACAGTCCTCAGGATGGCAGCTCTAAGTAGGAAAAAGCAGGCAGTCAAGCAAATCAATAAGGTACACTCTCAGGGTTTTCTAACAGAGAATTAAAGGACTCAAATTCCATGCATTTTTGAAATACTGAAGTTATGAATAGGAATTCTAGATTGCTAAATGTAACTCTGAAAGGTATAATAGTTAACAAGACAAGAGGAAAAAATTAGGTATGTTAAAACTTAAATGTATCCTGAACCTCAACTTGTTTTTTTTTTTTTTGCCAATATTGGGGCTTGAACTCAGGGTCTGGGTATTATCCCTGAGCTTCTTTTGTTCCAAAATAGCACTCTACCACTTGAGCCACAGCACCACTTCAGGTATTTTCTGTTTATGTGGTACTGAGGAATCGAACCCAGGGCTTCATTCATGCGAGGCAAACACTCTACCACTAAGCCACAATCCAAGCTTTGTTTTCTTTCCTTTAAATTTGATTTTCTCCTCTTAATTTCCCTTCTTTTTATTTTTGTTTTTGAAAGATTAGAATGTTTAATCTAGGAAATGGGCTTAAGTCAACTAAATTGGATTATTGGAAAAACTATGTTTTTGTTTTACATTGAAGAAAAATTGATTTTGTATGTTTACTGTTAGGTCACACAACAGATACTTGCATATTCTAATATAAAATATCTTTATATTTAAATTCAGGCATGCTCATATACTCAAACATTTCTTCTTAAGAAAATATATATTGATAAAGAAGCTAGAGAGAAAGAGAGCAAGCTTGCTTGTTGATTACCATTGCTAGTCCCATTTTTAAGGAAAAGCATGATTTAATTTGCTTTATAAAAATGAGTCATAAATTGCTGTTATAATAAATGTCAAGATAAATGAGGAAATGACAATTCATATTATGTTTATAATTTGGCGGAAGATGAATGTAAATGAATTTGCTCTTTTTTTGTATGATCATAATATTTGCCGAGGACTTTCCTGGAACTCATTTTTGCCAGTTAAGTATTCATAGGCAAGATCTCATCACATATAGATAGAACAGTGATTAGTTCATAATGTGAAATTTGGATGCTTCTTAATGATAGCACTTTATTGATGATCTTAAACTTTATCTCAAAATTTTTCTTCTGGATCTCTAGTCAGCATATGCCATTAATATTACCTGAAATTCCCTTACCTATTCATCTCTTAAGTTTTACACCAAGTGCTACCACATCCAATTTTAGTGGAGTCAGTGTTTTGGGTTTTGTTTTGTTTTGTTTTGGTCAGTCATGGGGCCTGAACTCTGGGCCTGGGCACTGTTCCTCAGCTCTTCAGCTCAAGGCTAGCACTCTATCATTTGAGCCAAAGTGTCACTTCCAGTTTTTTCTGCTCATGTGGTGCTGAGGAATAAAACCCAGGGCCTCATGCATGCAAGGCAAGTACTCTACCACTGAGCCACCTTCCCAGCCCAGGAGTCAGTTTTCAGAGCATTGAGATCTCTGTCTCTCCCCATAGTTCTGTAGACAGGCAGCTTAAATTAGTAGACTTTAAATAGTCTAAATTTTGCAGTTAGCTAAGACATCCATCAATCAATCACAGTGTCAATAGACTTATCCACACTTTTAATCTTTGTCAGGCCAAGTTTATGAAGTGCAACTTAAATCTCAAAAGAATTGTTAATTGAAGATTCATTTAATGAAAATAATGACAGTGAAATTTGAGATCAGAAGAGAAGGGATATACCATCAATTTATTAATACAACAGGCTAACCTTTAATAGGCTTTGTTTCTTTAAATAAATCACTCTTGCACAAACTCTTAAATACCTATGAGTCACAAAACAGCAATGTAAAACTAAAATGGAAAGATTTATTATCTAGTAAAGAAAATATTGGGGGCTAGGAAGGTGGCTCAGTGGTAGAGCGCTTGCCTTGTATGCCTGAGGCCCTGGGTTCGATTCCTCAGTACCACATAAACAAAAAGAAAAAAGCCGCAAGTGGCACTGTGGCTCAAGTGGTAGAGTGCTAGCCTTGAGCTGAAGAGCTGAGAGACAGCGCCCAGGCCCAGAGTTCAGGCCCCACGACCAGATCCCCCCCCATATATATATATATATATATATATAGTTAGACTGTCAATGTATTTTGTATTTAAAAAGTTGAATAAGAACAAATGTACCACATATCTTAATTCATGATGAAAGTTAACAAGAGGATTCTGTGTTAGAACAAAAGGGATCCAATTTGAAAAGAAAAAGGCTATCTAATAAATTCTTCATAATGAGTCAAGATAGTAAGAATATCCAAATTGAAGATGTTGGGAAGATTTAGAGTTAAATACTCTTTAACTTAAGAAGGTCAAAGTGAGGAAATACAGTATAATAATTTGTCCAAAACTGTTTTAGCCATAAACATGCTCTTATTCCTGAGGAAAACTGTAGTTATATACTTTATCAAGTAGGAGGACATTACTTCTCTAGAAAAAGTGTTGATTTACAGTCATTATAATTGATGAATATGGATAACTTCCAAGCAATAGGGATAACTGACCAGTTTTCACTAGATGCACACCTAACAGTTTTCTAGTACATAAGAAAAGTAGCTAGGAATTGAAATACTTCCAGAAAATTTAATACTTTTTGAAAGAATACCTCTTTTACTCAACAAGATAAATTAATTAAAATCTATTTTTAAATATTTACTTTATCATTGAAGAAACCTTAGTGAAAACAGTTCGAATTGTCCAGTATTTTTATATCTGCCTTTTCATATATGTGTGTACATTTCACTTTTTCCCCAATATATAAGCCCGAGTATCTACCTTTCTCAAAATCACATCATTTATGTAAATGATACTGTCTGCAAATGAGTGTAATATTTGAATTGCCTAAATGAAAAGGAGCGATAGATATTTTTAATTTTCTCTCTCTCTTTCTCTCTTGCTCACTGTCTCTTGCCAAATTGGTTAGGGATACATCTTTTTTTTTTTGGATTTCTTTTAATGTCTTTAATAATTAAATGCATTTCATCTAGAGTGCAATCTGATAGATCTCACCCTTGTGGTGTAGGCTGCCTCAGGATCGTCTTCCAGGACTCTGGAAAGCCCGAAGTCAGACACCTTGCACACAAGGTTACTGTTGATTAAGATGTTTCTAGCAGCAAGGTCTCTATGCACGTAGCCCATGTCAGAAAGGTACTTCATTCCTGCAGCTATGCCTCTCAGCATGCCAACAAGCTGAATCACTGTGAACTGGCCATCGTTTTTCTGCAAAGAAAATGGTAAAATATTAGTCAAGCAATACCAATCACAGAAGGAAAATATGACAGTATCTTCCTTCAAGCTCCAAATTAATATTATCATGCCCCAAATTCATATGCCATTCCTTTCTGAAGGCAACTGGAAAACAGAAACTAAATAGTGAACATCGGTAATGTTTATCTATCAAACCAGATAAGGCCTCAGAAAGCCCTGTCAAAACAATCTCATTTCATTGCTTTTTTTTTTTTTTTTGCTTCATAACTCCTGTACTTTCAGCCATAAAAATAGTTGTTCTGCTGAGTGTCTCTGCGTCCTCCTGTAATCCTCGCTACTTGGAAGCTGAGACTGGGAGGAGGACTCTGATTGAAGGCAAGCTCAGGGAAAGAAGTTTGCAAAACTTTTCAACCCATCGTTGGTACAATGGTACATGTCTATCATCTCAAAGTTTGTAAAAGGATGAGATTGGAGGACCATGCAACCCAACCTAAGGAAAAAAAAGTGTCCAAAAGACTCCATCTTCATATGTGGATGGATGTGGCAGCACATACTGGCATTCCCAGCAATAATGGGAAGCCAGAAATAGGTAAATTATGAATTAGCCTTAATTATGTCTCAGATGCATGCCCATGTGAAAAGTAAGACACTATTCTAAAAAATAATCATCCCCATTATCTTTTATTTAGTTTCTAATTACAATGTACTTAAGTGAAACATGAGGTCATACATGCTGATGTGCATAAGTTTTCTGAGAAGAACATGTTTCAAACTGTACTTAATTTTGGAGTATAATTATTCTGTTTCCATATGTCCCGATCCTATTTAACATGTTTGCTTTAAAGCTGTGTAGTGTTAACCTGAATGTCATGGACGTTATATACGCAACGTTGAATAACAGTTTCAAATCTTACCTTTAAAAATGTGTCTAAAGAGCCATTTTCCATATACTCTGTCACTATCATCACTGGTTTACCTGAAAATAGAGTGATATAAACTGTGATACAAATTCTTTTCTTTCATTTTGCTTTCTTCTCAAAAAAATTTTGATATTTTTATTGGTATCCAAATTTATGGGTGGGTACATATGTGTGTATGTATGTGTATAATAGCAATATTCTTCTTGAGTAATAAACAAGTTCTTGGAATTATGATGATTTACTCACAGGATTGGGTCCAAGAGAAAAAGGTGTTACAATGTTAGTAAATGACAGTTAAGATAAACAAACATAAATGCTCTCACAGTTGTTAACGTCTAACCCTTCTGTGTATCTGTAGTTTAGTGTGAGTTCTATTTTGGTGAAGAAAATAATACAATGTATAATATACCATATTCATCTTCATATCAATTTTTAATCAAAGTTTTTAACCTCTCTGACCATCTTCTTTATGATCCATAAACTATAAAATGTATGTTGCACTTTATATTTGGGTAATTCTTTGTTTTTAATGATTACTTACTTTTCTGCTCCCTACCACACCTACCATCTTCAACAACCCCAAGTTTGCTAGTTCATTCAAGAAGTGTTCTAATTCCATTGCTTTGTGAAAATTTCTATAGAAATCATCATCTCTGGAGGAAGAGGCTATCCTTCTTTGTCATGCCAGAGTAGCCCAGAAGTTAATTGGGCAGATTCTAAGGCCATACTTCTCTTTTCTATATAGATCAGATCATTTCCTGTGACAGTTCATTTTTATCTCTCAAATTTGACTATAGTAAGTAACTTCTAGGAAATCTGTCACATCGGTAATTTCGTTGTGCTTAGGAAGATGCTCCAGTGAAGATCAGTGTGGAAGAAAAGTGTATCAAAAACAACTGCCCTTCAATATGCGCAGGCATCATCTAATTTGCCAAAGGCCTGATAAAGAATTGGTGCAAAAACTAATGAGTAAATGATTATTGTTCTGCTTCTGAAGTAAAACTTGCAGGATTTACATCAGCACATCCTCATCCCTTCAGGTTTTCCTGGTATTTAGTCTCTAAGGATAGTCACAGAAACTATTTTCCTTACTCTGAGATATTCCAATGACTGAGCTATCAGTTTCTCAGGGTCTTCAGTTTGTGGACCAACCTTTCATAAAACTCACCAGTACCCATAATCCCGAGTCCCTTTTCACCAATAGATTCTCTCTATTGAGAGTGTGAAAGTATATGTGTGTGCATACACTTTTATATGTGGTATTGGTTTTTGTCTCTGGAGAATCTGATTAATATATTCCCAGCCATTTAGTATTTGGGAAGTCAAATATCTCTGTGCCTCAGTTCGCTCTTCTGCTCAAATTAATATAATCTACTTCATAGCTGTATCTACCAAGTTATCTAAAGCATGAAAATAGATTTTACCACTTAAAGTTTGCTGGATGTAAATCACATAAGAGAACAGATCACATTTTACATCCCATAAAACTATATATGTACAGTACAACATGAGAAATAAAAGAGCAGAAATTCTTGCCACATAATTAAATATCTAAAAAAAAATGGTATAGGCACCATTATAAGAATACCTGTATTATTTCTTTTTTTTCATTTTTTTATTGTGATTAAGTGGTTACATAATTTCCCAAATTTTGCAGTATTGTGGGATAGTGAGGCTTAGTGAAAGTCACAAACACATTCTAACTTTCATGGGGCAAATTGTCTATCATGGTCTATACATTTATGAGTTCTATAAGCTTTGCAATACAGTTATTTCTTCCACATTGGGTGATATGTACAGATGAATGGATCCAAATGGAATATTATGCAGCCATTAGAAAGGACAAAATAATGGCATTTGCAGGGAAATGGATAGAGCTGGAAGAAACCATGTTGCACAAGGTAAGCCAAGAGCAGAGACAAACGGCACATGGTCTCTCTGATAAGTGGATGTTAAGTCCAAAATGTAAGGTGATACCACAAAATTAACAAGACTTAAGAAACAAAGGTCTTCCACTCATCTGTTTGAATCACTACTAAATAACCCCATGCTGCTGATTACATATATGGTATATATGTGTACACCGGAGGGAAACCAGGAAGATGACACAGAACTAGAGGGAATCAGGGAAAAACATACAACAGCGGGATCCATCAGCTGCACTGGACATTAACCAAAATGAACTAAGCAACTCAATGGCAGCGATGGGAAGGAGGGAACAAATGGGAAAGAGGGAACAGCTGATGCTATGCAAAACAAAAGAAATGTACATATCACCCAATGTAGAAGAATACCTGTATTCCTAGATATTCAAAAGACAAAAGCTGGGAGGATCATGATGGTATGCCAGCCCAGGCCAAAAAACCATTAAAAAGTCTGTGAGGAAAGTTTTTATAGCTCAGTTGAAAAACCTATACCTATCATCCTAGCTGCCGAAGGAAGTGTAAACACAAGGATCATTGTGCAGGCCAGTCCAAGAGGAGGAGAAGGAGGAGAAAGAAAAGGAGGAGGAGGAGGAGGAGGAGGAGAAGGAGGAGGATGAGGAGGAGGAAGAGGAGGAGGAGGAGGAGGAGAAAAGGAGGAGGAGGAGGAGGAGGAGGAGGAGGAGGAGAAAAGGAGGAGGAGGAGGAGGAGGAGGAGGAGGAGGAGAAAAGGAGGAGGAGGAGGAGGAGGAGGAGGAGAAAAAGAGGAAGAGGAAGAGGAAGAGGAGGAGGAGCAGGAGGACGAGGAGGAGGAGGAGGAGGAGGAGAAAAGGAGGAAGAGGAGGAGGAGGAGGAGGAGAAAAGGAGGAGGAGGAAGAGGAAGAGGAGGAGGAGGAGGAGGAAGAGGAAAGGAGGAGGAGGAGGAGGAAAGGAGGAGGAGGAGGAGGAATGGAGGAGGAGGAGGAAAGGAAGAGGAGCAGCAGCAGCAGCAGCAGCACAAAACTCTTAACAATAACCAGAGTAAACTAAGGGTCCTAGTCATCATCTAAGTTGTAGAATGCTTGTTTACCAGATGCAAAGTCCTAAGTACAAACTTCAGTATTTGGAAAAAATATTTAAAGAATAAAAACTTGCTTTAATATTCCGTATTTTAATATATGTCCCTGTTGTCCATAATAAAAACATAACATATGAAATATTTATTGAGTTAAGAAAAAGATCTCTGACATTCAAATTACTCATTTGTGCCTATTATTTAACTTTTGAAAATATTCTTATGCTTTTTTCCATGAAATGAAATGAATACTATATAATTACTATATCATCATATAGTGCATATCTTTAGCTTAATACCGTTCTTCCCAGGGTACTTTCCATAAGAATTTATTAACTGAGGGTATTGCATAGCTGTAGATATAATGCTATAGACATATTTAGACATAATGTTATACAACATGACAAATTTAGTCATAGCAGGTTTGACAATTAGAGGAAAAAAATGAAGAAAGAAGATTCTTCATTGAAAGAGTATTTAAAATACAATGGTTAGAATAATAAGATAGGAAATTCTAATTTCTTAGATACTTTTTAAAAAATACATTAAAGTTAATATTCTCTTAATGTGAGGTTAAAGTACATTACATATTTCTGTCATTTTCTTTAAAGTTTGTCAAACACCATTTCTGTATATTTGTCCACACTAGGGAAAACATCATGTGTACCAAGAAAATGTGTTAGAGTTGCCATTTGTTCTGAACCTTGAATAAGAAAGGGAGCTCAGGTATAGTAATATGTGTCCAGGAAATGAAGTCTCCAGGAGAAGAAACATGTATCTGGACATATTACCTGAAATATGCCATTGTCTTGTTTCAAATCATGAAGTAGAAGTGATTACAGTAAGGAATGTTGTACTTACAAATGGGTTGAAATGCAAAACAACGGTAAAAAAGGTCAATGAATCATTTAGATTGTATTCGTAAATGACTGCAACAATGTGAACAAGTGGTCTTTTCCTTTAAAAAAATAAAACAATATTTTAATAATTATCTTTACATAGTTGTTCATGTTCAATTGAACATGTTAGTTTATGAATGCAGTGCATCTTCTTTCAAATTTATATTTTTATCATCTTTAAGTAGTTGTACCAAGGGATTGCCATACAACAAATCAGTTTATTAGTAGAATGCTTGTTCATCGATATCATCCTGTGTTTCAATCTTCCCCATCCTTCCCAACCCAAATCTTCTGCTCAGTTTTCCTAGTTTCACTGGATATGCAGTAAATATTTTGACTGCATTATCTTTACATCCTATAATTGTAATTTTTGTTCTCAAATTGAAAAATGCCTTTAATTTAAAGATTACCTCTAATTTAAAGATTATTTTAATTATATTGCTGAACCCTTTAAAGCAGAATAGGCATTTATTTTTAAAGATACTATATTCTGTTTGGAGCCCTTTTGGTTCTGAGACATCAGAGACTGTTTTAGTCTTTTATTTTGTCCAAAGCTCTTTTACTTCAAGCGTCCAAAATTAATAAACTTTCTCAAGAGATGAAAGCTTGTTCTGGCAGAGAAAGCTGTAGGTCCTAATTTGTACAGCTGTGAGAGTACCGTGGAACACACTGCTGCACCAGACACTGTCTGTTCAATTGCCTCAACTGATACCCTCAGGCATAGTCAAGGATGAAGCTGACTTTTTGTAGAAAGATGTCATGTAGTAACTCTGCCATGAGCTTCTATTTATGTTTTTATTTTTATTTTTACTAAGCGTTCTGGAAGTATTTTAGTACATTGTTAGCTGGTAAGACTAAAAGGATTATTTATGTACCTGCTGAATGTAAGTCCTGATGTAACTAGAAATACCTAGATCTTATTGTTTGTGATCAGCTCATGCTTTTACGATCTTCTCCAAATATGATTCTTCTACTCTGGCTAATCTCTCCCCTCTCTTGTAGAAATTCACTGAAGCAGCCTCCCACATTGTAAAGCCACTGAAGAACTGAATTTCAGCAATTTTAAGGAAAAATGGCCTTAATTTTTCCTCTTTGGTATTTTTTAGCTTATACTCCATGAGCAGACATCTTGATCATCAAAACAAAATAAAACAAAAATCTATGCCTCACTTATTTTCTGT